ACTCTCTCTCTCTCTCTCTCTCTCTCTCTCTCTCTCTCTCTCTCTCTCTCTCTCTCTCTCTCTCTCTCTCTCTCTCTCTCTCTCTGTGTGTGTGTGTGTGTGTGTATGTGTGTGTGTGTGTGTGTGTGTGTGTGTGTGTGTGTGTGTGTGTGTGTGTGTGTGTGTGTGTGTGTGTGTGTGTGTGTGTGTGTGTGTGTGTGTGTGTGTGTGTGTGTGTGTGTGTGTGTGTGTGTATTAAAAAAGAAAACAGCCACAGCAAGAGGGTCAAGGTCAGATTCTAGGCTCTGTTTACTAATTTTGTTCATCCAAGCTCCACTGACTAGCACATAAGTTGAAATCAGTCAATTGTTTAATCAATAGAGCACATAGAGCTAATATAGTATCTTTATGATTTCATGATGAACTAATTTAGCATCTGATAGCTTTAATCGCGTGAGTAAAACAGGCATTTGATTCTCTATCGTACCTAACATTACGTTGATGCTCATTTATTCCTTTCTCCAGAGCTCTGCCTGTTCCGCCTACGTAAAACTTCGACCAGTTATTACACGGAACGACGTAAGAACTAAGAGAAGAATCAGGAGCAATATAGAACCCCATTGCACTTCACCAGAGAACTGCGCATCGTGTTCAGGTACGTAAAAACAAAGATTAACTCCAACTCTCTTAAATAGATGGCGTTTATCATCGAGGGACGGGGTTGTACAGAACAATTAATGGATAACTGGCGCTGCCCCTGTGCGTATTTCGAGAGGGAGTATACAATTTCCATTTCGCAGATGAATGTATCTGGTTTAAGAAAAAAGCTGGGATATCCTAATTTAGTAAACATTTCGGAAATGATGTCTGTGTGTGTGTGTAGAAAGATAGATAGATAGATAGATTGTGAGTATCCACCCAAACTACAAAGCATGATCAAGTATTTTTCCGGCGACATGTAAGGCACCGCACAGTTCAACATCAGCTGTTCTGAGGGCTTTGACAAATGCAGCGGACTGAAACAAGGCTGTGTGTTTGCCCAAACATACAGCCTTTCCTCGTCCTCTGAAGGCAGCTGTCTCCATACAAGATCAGATAGCAGACTCTTCAACCTAAGAGTCAAGGCGGAAGTGCGTGAGGCCTTCCTCAGTGATACGCAGTTTGCTGGCGACGCAGCAATCGCCACCCACACGCAGCAGTAACTCTAAACCCTGATGACTCACTTTGCCCTCCTTGCAAGGACTTCGGTCTCACCTTCAGTCTAAAGAAGACCAATGTGATGGGCCAGGACGTTGTAGGCCCTCCCGGCATTAAGATCAATGCCTGTGAACTGGAGGTCGTTCACCTATCGGGGTCCTCCATCTCCGACACCCTGTCTGTAAGAAGAGATCAGCAAGCGCATCGGAAAGGTAGCCACCACCCTTGTCCACCTCACTTCACGTGTCTGGGAGAACTCTAAACTCTCCGTAGATACAAAGATGGCTGTGTACAACGCTTGCATCCTCACTACGCTGCTGAATGGCATCGAGACTTGGGCAGCCTATGCCAAGCTAGAGAAGACGCTCAACGCCTTCCACCTGTGCTGCCTTCATCGCGTCCTGCACATCTCCTGGCAAGAAAGACAAGGCGCCCAAACAGACGTCCTTTCTCGCGCTGGCCTCCCAAGCATGATCACGCTCCTAAGGCAGCGGCGGCTGCGTTGCTGGGTCACGTGAATCGCATGGATGATGGTCGTCTTCCAAAGGACATCCTACATGGCGAACTGGCGACAGGAACAAGAAGAACCGGTCGCCCACAACTGCACCACAAGGATGTCTGCAAACGAGACAGGAAGGCTGTGGGCGTCAACCCCGATTCTTGGGAAAATCTGGCCGCAGATCGCTCTGAGTGGAGAAGCGCCCTTCGGAAACACATTAAAGCTAGCGAGGAAAACCTTCGAAGTGCAGCCGAAGCCAAAGCCAAGCCAAACGTGCCAGAAGAAAGGCGTATTTCACAACCACTAGAGCTGAATCGACCAACACCCATGCCAACTGCGGTCGTGACTGTCATTCCAGATAGGATTCTTCAGTCACCAACGGCGATGCTGCACCTTAGTAAGATAGAGTCAATAATGCCAAAGTCGACATCAGCTGATCGTGGCCGTTAATATACATACATGTGTGTATGTGTTATTAAAATACGAATATGCGTAATTCTAGTCATACCTTTTAGGAGATTTGTAAGTAGAAGTTTACTGTTATTCAAATGGAGTACGAGTTTGAAGTGAAAATGTCAATCCTAAATTCAACTTCGTCCGTTTTCTACGAGAGCAATTGATATTCGAAGAAAATGAATCTCTTAATTTATTGGAATCCTTGTCCATTTTTCATACCTCTTTCTACTCTCTCTCTCTCTCTATCTCTCTATCTATCTATCTATCTATCTCTCTGTGTGCGCGCGTGTGTGTGTATGTATGTATGTGTGTGTTTGTGTGTATGTGTGTGTGTATGTGCATATATGTATGTATATATATATATATATA